GCTTCACCAATTTTGAAAATTTAGAATTGGGCATGGCGTAACACTGGTATCGTCTCAGTCAATAGGACAAAACAAACCAACCGAAATAATTCCTCATGGTTTGGTACATTCGACCGTGTTAAATGATGCAACTTCAACTGACACAGTCATTACCACGTCGTCTGCACCAGTACCAACAAAGACTGTAAGGTGAGTTACGCCAGCTTTCAGTTATTTTAACAACTTTTGATGATATTTTATTTTCCCTTTTACAGAGCACTGACAACAGCGCCAGCTGCTAGTGTTGGATTAGTTAAAATGCAATTAGTTTCGAGTATCGTGTACAAACATTTTGGTGAATCGAAGGAACTTATCAGGCATCTTGTGCCGAGCAGTTGATGGTGAAACTTTATTCTGAACTGTGTCTAAGTAAGAGGGCTGAAATTATAGGGACAGACGTGGACTTAGGTCGACCGGAATAACGAAGACGTACAGCTGGCTGTATAAAACGTAATAGGACTGAAGAGCACATGGACCTTCAATCAGCGGATCGCATGCCTTAAATATCGAAGATTCTGTAAAAGATATCACACGTCACAATCTCCGAAACGGGCTTCAGCGCCCGTCCTAAAATAGCTTCGGCGGAAAATAGGAATGGACTTCACCGTCATATATCCAAACAACGATGGGAAATCTGGAAGGGAAAAGTGAGGAGTGGGAAAGAAGAGTCGAATCCTTTTCGGAGATCCGATCTTGCGGTGGGTACGCTCCGACGTCGCGTTTCAGTGTTTAAGCTGAAATGCTATCGAAGGATGACTCACCAGCTTTTGATATTTTTTTTTGGTTATGCGTTCTTGCTTATATGCAAATGCAAAAACGCATATTGTGACGATCCCGATGCGTGTGTTTGTGTGTGTGCGTCTGTCCGGATATTTCAACTCGGCACCTAAGCAAGCTCCGGCGCCAAAATTTTGCTGGTGAGTTCCCCGGCCAAGTGCCACCCCAGGACCGCGGTGTCAACCCTCACGCAAGTCTGGGCCCCGCGCACGAGGGGGTGAAAGTTTTGGCGGGAAAGTCGCTAACTCGAGAACCAGAAAAGCTAGAAAGTTGAAATTTTTAGGTTATGTCCCCCGTCTCCATGGAACTCAAAGGTTTCAAATTCAACCCCCAGGCGTGCGTGGCTCTCGCGTATGGCCCCGTAAGGATTCCTGGCGCGAGAATCGCTAACTTGGGAATCAGGAAGCTGGAGAGCTGAAATTTTCAGGGAATGTTCCTGGCACATGTTCAACCTAAAATAACCAAATTCAGCTCCTAATTGTATGTGGTACTCACGTACCGCCCCGCGAAAATATCTGGCGCAAAAGTGGCTAGCTCAGGAACCAGGAAAGCTGGGAGGCTGAAATTTTCAGGGAATATGCACAGCACATTTACAAAAATCAGCTTCCGGGCAATCGTGGTTGTCACGTACGGCCCCGTGAATTTTTTGGCGCGAAAATGGCTAATCAGGGACCAAGAAAGCTGGAAAGCTGAAATTGTCAGGGAATGTTCCCAGCTCAAGTACAATTTAAATTTATCAAATTCAGCCTCTCAGTGCGAGTGGTTTTCACGTACGGCCTCCTGAAAGTTTTTGGCACGGAGATGGGTAACTCGGGAACCAGAAAAGACCGGAGGCTGAAATTTTCAGGAAATGTTCCCAACCCACGTACGGCTTGGATTTATCAAACTCAGCCCCCGGGCGTGCGTGATCGTCACGTACGGCTCGTGGAAGTTTTTGGCGCGGAAATGGATAACTCGGGAACCAGAAAAGCCCGGAGGCTGAAATCTTCAGGAAATGTTCCCAACCCATGTATGGATTAAATTTATCAAACTCAGTCCCCCGGGTATGCGTGGTTGTCACGTACGGCCTCGTGAATATCTTTGGCAGGACTATTGCTAACTCAAGAAGAAAATTTGGAAAGCTGAAATTTCAACGAAATGTTCCTTGTCCAACTACTGCATGGACAATTAACTTCCGAGGTTTCGAGGGCCAGTATATCACACATTTCTAGCTACTGGGTTACCGAGCGATCTCGTTACGGCGCGAAATATCGTAAAAACGCATGATCGCACGGGCCAGCCTGGTGCGCGTCGCCAATGATTTTAACTGGGATGAGCAAAGGCTGTGCCTTTACAGATTGCTACAAACTGCGGCACCGATGAACGAGGAAAAGTTGCAGTCAATCCTGGATTCCTGTATACTCTTTAACGGTGTCATATGTGAATTTGGATGTGTCGATCAAATTAAGTTCGTTTTTGCATATTTTCATTTACATACTTTTTATGCGTTTTTGCTGTGCAGCGCTATAGCGCTGCTACAGCCAGCAAAAACGCATATTG